GGGAGGAGTGGAAGATGAGCATTACACCGCTATCTAATTACATTATTATTACGCTAGAATTGATTATATACCTACCGGACGCGGACCGCAAAAGTTATTCACTCGCAGCGTAATAATACCACCAGTTTATAATGGAGCGGAAACGCACACGCGCGGGAACACAAAATTATATGACTCGGAGGGGTTTTTGTATTTTTTTTTTTTTTCTCATCGTATTCCGACCCCGCGCGTCCGTGTACAATAGCAATAACGTATTGAAAAAAAATAGAGAAATATATATCAAATAAATAAATAATAATATAATGATAAAAAAAAAAAAAAGAAGGAATATAAAAACCGTCGAATGTCTTTATTTCCTCGCGCCGCCGCCGCCGCCGCCCGCGGGTTATGATTGTAAATTATACAACCTGTGACAGGCCGGCTGACAGCTGCGCCTCATTACCGGGTTCGGCGCTGTTGCCGGAGCTAATATATTTCAGCGCCCGCTTCCCACCTCACCGCTCCCCCGCCGCCATCGGTACCGTCCCGCGACGCGGCCGTGAGTTATTGTGAAATATCGTATTGCCGCCGAGCGGAGGGGCGCCGAACGCGCCCCGTATCGCGTTCCGTGACGTTACCGTCGCCGCACGTTACGCGCGCGCGGGCATCGTGATATCTGTGTATCGTTACCGCGTACGTCGCGTTATTATCGCGCGCGCGCCGGCGGCGACGATATTGTCGGCACTGCGCCCGGCATATTGTCGTCGGCGCACGTACGGGGCCGGCCGGGGCGGGCGACCGTACCGTCTCGTCGTAGCCGTTGCGTCATTACCGTCCGCGACCGTCGCGAACACGGCGCCCCGGAGGTACCGCTCTCTCGCGTGCGGCGCGACGCGCGTCGTTTTGTTCGGGCGCGTCATCGTTCGACAGGACGCGTCGTGCGGAACGACGGGGGACGGCCGCGGCGACAGACCGTCGCTGACCGGAAGAAAACCGCTTCTGTGCGGAGTTCGGCCGCCGGCAACAGTTCAACGTAATGTGTCCGTTGTGTCGCGTTACGGTGAAACGGCCGCGAACGGGCATCGTACACTTTCCGTTATAATATTTGTTGAACGTACCGATTTCCCCGGCTTTTTCGCGTTTGCCGACGAAACTCCGGAGGAAATCGAAAAATGCGCCCCGCCCACCCCCCCCCCATTACCCAGTACCTTCCCAGCGGGATTTCCTTTCGGACCAAGCGCTACACTCAAAAATCGGAGCGAGATTTCACGTAGAAAATTGGCGCACGGATGAAAACAAGAAGAAAAGAAAACATTCTTGTAAAACCGTAAGCTCCTTCGCTCCGTTCGGAATCCAAAATAAGTCAGCGACGATAATACGCGCGTAACAATGTAACGCGAAATTTTATCGCGACCCCCCGATGCGTTAGCCGGACGGTCCGCGTATTGCCGGTGATTTTCACGGAAACTTTTAGCGTCGTGGATTCGATTTCTGTATTTTTAGATCCCGAGCGGAGCGAGAAATGCATTGGCTTTACAATGATATTTTTATTTATTTTTTTTTTTCTGTGGACAACCATTTTGTATCTGAAATTTTGCTCGGATTTTCAACGATTGCACTTTTTCTAAATGGAAATCTGACTGGCGAAATAGGTTAGGGAGATCACTTTTTGATTTTCTCAGAAGTTTTCCCGATAAATGGGAAATAACGAAGGAAAAACAGAAGAAAAACGAGAAAATAGATACAATATTATTAAAGAAAATAATACATAATACATATGTAATTATTTGACCGTAATGCGACATATATATATATATATATATATTATTGACAAAACACAAACACTATCAACCGAACTCCGTTCAGAATCGTATTCTCGTTAGCAATGGTTAATCGTTGCTTACAAGATATACGTTAAATTACCTATAACAGTGGCCGCATCCGTTCTCATTATCCTAGGACAGCTTTTTTTTTCTTTTCTCTATAACATTAGCTTTATTTCAATTGCTATTTTCAGTTTTTTTATTCCTCTTTAACGGATTTTCAAGTGGGAACCGACCGCCCCCGTTTTAAACACACACATATGAATGTATAGAATATATTTTTTCTATACTCATTTTGATACGCGTAACAGTTTAAAAACATGTTGACCGGCGGAGTAATAGGGAATACGGACTTTATATCCATTATTGGATATTTATAATTACACAGCACACTGCCCTACTCCTCCGGTCTAAATTTTAAACGTCTGTTAAACGCATTAACGGCATACCCATTATTTGCGAGTTACGCGTATCGAATTTTTTAATAAACATATAATTCTATATTCGAATCAGCTTTTAAAATTTGGGGTGCTGGATAGCTGTTTCTGTAAGAAAATAAAAAGTGTATGCTCGTATATGCCGATTTAGTCTGATATAGTTGCACACTCTCGATGCATACTATTTTTTTTTCTTCTTCGCCTTCCAGTGGGATTGTATTTCGCCAGACCTCTTTACATACATCCGTATTAATTGTCTATTTTCGACGTATATAAATTCGATAATTTCGATTAGTAAAATTGCATCTTATTTTAATATTCGATATTAAAACATTTTATATTTTTACTGCACATTTTAATTTAGTAACCCTTCGTAATTAAACCGTTAGTCTTTGTTAAATTATTATTACTACATAATTACAGTACAAACAGGAAGACGAAGGAAAAAAAATTGTTGTTGATATCTAATAACATCTAATATTATTTTTATAATTTATTTTACCGCGTTTTAATAAAAACAATCATAGCTACACACACTACAATAACAGTGCATTTTATTTTATTCCAAACACGTGTTTCTAGTCCCATAGTTAAATAATTCTTTTACCACATGAGATTTTCGTTTTATTTTTGCATTATTATTCGTACGAAATACGAATTGTATGAATGAAATATTGAAAAGGTGTAAATAATGCAATAAAATCGAGGGTGTTGAGTAAACGGCTGTCTGCTCGGCAGTAACACCTGTTCGGCGTTTATTTTTATTTTTTATACGAATGTACTATGTATATATTATGTAAGCGGCTTTTCCGTTGCCCCGGGAAAGTCGTACAAACAAAATAAATAATATTACGTTCCCGAGGGATAAAAGTCGTGTTTTAAATTAAAATCTGCTTATACGTACACACATATAACTTATCACTTATCGGTACCTATATGCATCATAGGTATTAAAATTGGAAATTCGTCACGTGTATTATTGAGCGCAGTTCAATTTTTGTGCATAATTCGCATAAAGATAACTCGACATTCTCTAATAAAATACTTTGTACTAACTTTGTTACCTAATATATTATTAAAATAATAAATAACGTCCTATAATAAAATCTACTCGAAAACGTATGGCTTTTTCGATTCGACAAAATATTGTCCGCTTTTTGCCCACCGAGTGCTAAATCATATTAATCGTAACTCAGTGAACCGGCGAAACGTTTCACGTTCAATTTAATAATGAGGCGCCGACTACAGATCTTGTGCGCACTAAATAAGCACTGTCGATTTTTAATACTTGTTAACAATTATGAACTCCGTTTTTTCATCGTGCACTACGCGATAATTGACGGAAACAAATCAATTGTTATGGTAGTTGATATTGGCTATTTAGATTGTTTGGAATTTTTAACTATTCATTATTTCGTTAATTATCTCGGTAAAGTTTATCATATTACAATAAATATATCCATGAATGTTCACCATGAAAATATATAAAAAAAAAAAAAAAAAAACATGTTGTTTTATTTACCATGTTAACACTATAATTGTATTTTTCGTATTCGCGATTCCAAAACAACGGTAGGCACTATGTCGAAACGCACGCAGTTCTAATATAAAGTGGAATTTCAGTGCGCGCTTTTATGCCAAATCGAAAACGTATATAATTATTTTTTTCTATTTTTCAACTCAACTAAACTACCTACCTAATTTTTTCAACTCGACTCGTCTGGTAGTGTTATCGAACCGCTTCACAGCGGGTCACATTTTTAAAAAGGTGAACGAAATCAAGTGTATTCGAATATTTTCAGTCGTGCAATTGATTTTCGAATTTATTTAAATGAATATAAGAACTGCTAGCATCAAAATATTATTAGCCAAGGTACTTGGAAATGGATTAGAACAAAATAAATCCGGCGAAAATGCACGTCCGATAATTTTTAACGTTACTCAAAACCGTTTAATAGCAAGCTGAACAACTATCGATTACAATATTGGGCGAAACGGTAATATCAATTTATCCAAATATATACAAAATTAATTATACTTGGCATATTTTACGTATACTTTAGAATGAGCGGATTAATTTTTTTTACATATATTACAGCGATAATTTTCTTCTCTAACAAAATGTTCACACTCGAGAACAGCTATGGCTTCGGTATCAGTGTCTCGTGTGGTTATCCGAACATGCTGACATAATTTATTTCATACCTATATGTTTAATGTATTTCTGGCAAACAAGCTTGCTGATTTCACAGCTAGGGCTGTAATAAAATCCCCCATGTCGTCTTCATATTCGTCAACTAATAGTCTCCCACCGGGACATCCAATCGCCCAATTTCAAAGAAACGCTTCACGAAAACGGCTCCAATTACGGGCTTTTCAGAACATCATACTCAATCAATGAAATAAAACGGGACATCTACTCCTGGTATTTCTCCAATAAATTTAGCTGAAAGTTCGGGGTGACGTTTACTCGTTTCCGAATTGGACACATAAACTTTTCGCGCAGCTTTCTAATGCCAAGAAAGGACCCGAGTTGGATTAGGTCATCGAGACACCGAGAAATCTTCCAGTGGGCCGCGATAAAATTGAGTTAGGCAAATCGTATAAGGCCAGGGGAGGGAGATAAGTAAACAACCGGTATAGATGACTTAACGAGGTTGTTTTAGGGACCTGTAATATACTGTCAGAGGCTGTATTAGGACGTAAGCTTTCGGTTGACCGTAATGATCTATCAGCGAGGACATTTTCGAGAGAAATTATTGGCAACAAAAACATATAATATGAAATGTGGCTGCTGTATAACTTTTAGGGCCAGTAGAATAAATATTTCACTGGCTGTTTTTATAAGGTAATCCAACCTTGAGGAAGACCCACCGATTCACCCTTCCTGCGTTGGTGTGCCCATTACCATCTAGCGCATTTTCACTGAATGCAGGGTATTGATAGCGGGTTAAAGTGCAACTTATCGGACTCACTCTCCGAAGCGTTAGGCAATGACTTATAAGCGACGGACAGCGACGGACTATCACATTCGCTACTGGCTCCAATTCGCTTTGATGTCATTTCTGTAATTGTATCTGTACATATTATAATGCAATCGTGTATATTTCGTTTGTTCGATTTTTATTTGTTTACACTTCTTCGTGTAATTTACGTGTCACTTTGACTATTTCCAATGGGCAAAGCGATGCAGGTAATATTTTTTCTAGACGTTAGTATATATAATAAATTTTACTTTATTTCTGTATGACTTTTGTAGTGACTTGTCGTGACTTTTCGCCTTTTTTTTTTTTTTTTAAAAACGCGCCGGTACTTAATATTTGTCGTTCGGTTTACTATACACGACCACGTTCTGGTATAATGAATTCCTTTTATAAGTTTTTAATTTCTATGGTCGATTATCATAACAATAACGCGCTAAGAACTTTACGTGTTAAACACACTGGTGGATGAGAGGGGGGGCGATATTTCTGAATAACGTTTCCTTCTTGAAACAGCCGAGCGTTCATATTATAAGGTTGACCATAATAATTGATAATAATTACACGCCATTTGATTCAACACACTTGTCCGCGGTGAATCGGAGTGTATAAATTATTATTATTATTATTATTATTATTATTATTATTATTATACTGGGGCTCTAGACTCGTTTTAACCCTTCCTATATACATACCGAATATTGTTCGTTGTTGAATGGTTTACTTCCGTATTTTGTGCGTTCAATAACTTTCCAGCCCTTTGGCTGCAGATTTCGAATGCGGGCACTTTGGCGACTGTCGACGATCCGGCACAAAGCTAATAATAATATTATAATACTCTCGGTTGAAAATAGTTGAGTATAAACAATTTCTAATGATTAATAATCTATCCGTGCGAGTTTTTCTCAAATCGCAAATTCACGAACGGTTAATATTCTAATAAATACTACATCGGGATATAAATAAAAAAAAAAAAATATCCCGGTTCTCAAAATATTGTTTATCATTCTTTAGCGCCAAAAATTACGCGTATCTCGGAAGAAATTCGTGTGGTAAAAAAAAAAAAAAATGCATTTTATTTAAGAATGCGTTTTATCGATTGATTTTAAAATGTTCACATTTCTTTGTATTAATAAAATATTATATAAGCATTTGCGAACGATTTCGCATACTAAGCCCAATTCATATACTTGTACGGAACGACACGACAGACAAAAACGACGTCCAGTTTACATTATGACCAACCGGTCTCGACAGACGCGCAGATATTTTAAACCGATATTAATCCGATTACAAACGTTTGTTTCATCAATCAGTCGGATTTTTGTATTTTATCCATATTTTTGGTACGGTAAGGAAGTGATCTATCGAGAAAAAGTGTTCACAAAATTGTTATTTATTTTTTGGAACACTTAAAAAAACGAGTACATATTTTGAATTTCGTAATTAAGTTTTTTTCGAACCAATTCAATATACATTGTATATTCGTTTGCTTTTGAATTTTATTATGTTGATACGTACAAAAATATGCATACACATTTCAACTGAATTGATTCCGGCAGGCCGTCATATTCCACGCTAGAATGTTTTTTTTCTCGTCGCGTCGTGGCGTACGACGAGTATGAATCCGGGATTTACTCTGAGAAAAATAAAAAAACCAAATTAATTCGAAAAAATAATAATTTTACGTAGTATGTTTCAAAATTCGTAATATTTTGATGTTCGACGCTGAAAAATAAAACCGTATAGGTGTAGCGCGTTATTTCGCTTTGCCGGTGCCCGATATAATTTAAAAAATTTATAATTCTCTACACAATCGCGTAAAAAAATGTCGTGTGTTACTTACGGTACGAATAAACCACCGGCCCGGTAACTGCAGCGGGGAAATCTATTTAAGATTCAGCGTATATAGCGGTGGGTCGCGGAGGGTCGTTTTACAAAGACGCGTAGTGTGTTCGGATTTATCAAAAAAAAAAAAAAAAAAAAAAAAAAAAAACATAATAATAATAAAACTCTAAAAATGTGTTACTGCGATGTATGCGTGTTTTTGACAGCAGTTACGTACGTATAAATAAATATAATAATAATATGTGCAAACCGTTTGAAGTGTCGCGGCGCACGTGCTTTTCACATTCTCTCGCTTTATACTCTCTCTCTCTCTCTCTGACTCTCTCTCTCTCCCGTCGTCACTATCGTCATCGCGTGAACTTCACAATGCACCCCCATATTATCGCGTATACATTTTGTTCGGTATACAAAACAACAAAACCGCCCTCATCCCCTCCGTGCGCATGTGCGGGGGTTGAAAATATGTTCCGTCCGCAATGGACGTAATATACGTGTATTAAAATATTACATTAGGAACCGTTTGTAAAAAAAAAAAAATATACGTTCGCGCAGTGTACGATAACAATATGACCGTGTCTTCTCACGTCGCCGATTCCCATTTTGCCGACAGATAAACCGGTTTATAAGGCATTTTCCCATCGCGTCGACACGTAAATCGGTTATAACATCATTTTTAATTGAAATATTATTGTTTCAATAAAACAATTGTTACTAAAGAAATTCCAGCAGCATGAGCTAAGGTAAATTTATAAATTTAGTATTATCGAAAATACAAAAACAATAGGTAATAATCAACGATTATTACCAGACGTTGAAAAGAATTTTTCTTATTATTTTCATAATTCAAGTTTAGTACAGTGACGATTTAAGAAAACTAGTGCAATCCCTGTAAAAACGACAACGAAAACGAGTTGTTTTAACATGAACTATGCGTGGGATGGAGTTACGAGTAGGTGTACTTAAAACAACCGTACGTCACATGTAAGTATTAACAAAACAAAATGTTGTCGGCAAAATGGAAGTCGGTGACGCGGGAATGAACCAATATTGTATTGCATTCGTCTCGTTTCATTAAGTAATTATAATAATTTTAATATTCGCGTGATGCTAATGGATTTAGCGAAGTGTACCGGTATTATTATCATTATTATTATACGCTTTTGATTATTGTATGACTGCCTTGATTAAAATTTAAATCGAACTGTACGTGTAGGTAGTAAATATTATTGTGCGGCGATAAATACTGCAGTCGGGAGAGGGTATACTGCAGCTGGTATACTGCCCCGTTTCACGAAAATTATTAATTTTAAACCGTCGCGTACTGCGTAATTCTGTTTGTTTGCGTTTTATAGCGAGCACACATTATATGGCTTCTGACGCATTATAATCGAAAATGATGTGCGCGGAATTATTGCGAGTTACTCGATCGAGGGTTAAGGGAGGGTCCGGGGGTGCCACGAGACTCCGGGTGCCTCGGTTTCGCCACGGTGTTCTTTATATACGCGTGGACTCTTGGATATTTTATTTATTTCGATCATTTTTCGTTGCCGACCTCTAACGGATACTATGTACACTAGGACCTCTAAATTTTGTATCAGTTTTTATTCCGTTAAAACGTATTATATTTCGAACAAATTTTGTTATTAATATTTTTATATTTGAGGTTTACAAAATTGAAAATCGATGACCATTAAATGTCTTAGAAAGTCCGGACTTGCAGCTCGGTCGAGGTGCACCTGTACGTTGGTATTCGCTGAATCGCGTACACGCGTATAGGAAACCCTCTTAGTGTTCGGACTGCGCAGTGCATTATTATAGACGAGTTTATTAAAACTGTACGCGAAAGCGAATCTTGTCTTTGGCACATCAAACCACAACGGGAACGAATACATGTATAGGTAATCATATAAAACTTACTACTTTAAAAAAAAAAATTATTAATAAGAAAACAAAATAATACGCGAACAGCACGCGATCGAGTGCGCGCGGTGTACACGATAGCGCGGGCGCGCTGAACAAAAAACCGAAATCGTCGAGCGATAGCGCGGGCGCGCGCGGTAAACGGGTGGCCGCGGCCACCGGGGCCGGGCCTCGGGGATTCGGACCCGAGGATGTCCTCTGCGTGCGTGCCGAACTTTGCAACAACGGAGGTTTTCAGACGGTGAATTTTATCCGGTTTGAGAGCGGCCCGCGTGGCGAACACAAACGGGTTTTGCACGGGCAACCGCGCCCGTTCCGCAACCGCAATCGTCAGGGCGTGCGTTTGCATCCGGCGATAATTATTATCCGCGAATTTTCGGCCGGGGACGCGGCCGTGTATGGGAGGGCGTCACATCGAAACCGGAGCCGGGCACATGCGGCGTACGCGTGTTCGGCGTGCTCGTTGCACATGTGTCCGGGAGTTTTGCGCGTCGGAGGGGCGGGCGGCGGCGGTGGCTGTACGGCGACGACGCTATAGGGGCGGGTAGCTATCCGTAATAATAATAATAATAATAATAATAATAATAATAATACACAGAGACGGCGAATGACGGTGTATTATCGAAATGAATTTCGGCGTCGGCGGTTCAACGGCGCTCGGGCTCTCGGATTAATTTCGCGCCGCGACGTCTTTCCCGGCGGTTATTTACGACCGCGCGTTTCGCCCGGAATTCCAATAACACAACAGCGCGCACGCGTGTGCGTTTTTTCCCCGGCGCATTTTCGCCGACGCGACCGCCTATTGTACGCGGAACCGGTGCCGGAAAAATTCAACGCGCCGAACGGAAACCCGTCCGGCCGCTGGGCGCTCCCTCATACGTTTTTTTTTTGTAAAAATATTCGATCGCGGAACTTGACAGTTTTGCGAACGGCGAATTTACGTCGTTTGCGACCGCGGCTCGCGATCGTCCGCGCGACCTGACCTGACCTAACCTTATCGACAGCCGTGACGTCGGATGCGCGTTTTCAACCGCGCTTACTCTACCGCTTCTGAGTCGACGGTGTCTCGACCGACCCGACCCGGTAGTGGATGAATATTCAAACGGCAACCGATTCGGCTTCGCCCGTCCGAACGACGCGTCGGAAAAACACGCGGTTAGGGGTTCAGGGCGCGTACCGGGGCCCGCTTTTTAACGCAGACTGCACGAAACCGCGTTATTCT